GCTATTTTCATTGGCCACTGAAATCATGTGCATACAGTCTCTAATAAATAAAGGCAGTCAACACAAGACTGCAAACAACGTGAACCCATTAATCAATCTGCTTAAATAGCATAACATCATAAATTCATTACTGAGTCAATATTTGCAACACCGCATGTATCAGAAGGCACTCCGTCAGATACCCACTGACCACCAGCAACTTCCGAGTGCATTGGACAATGAAACAAATGGTTGCTGATATCAGTGCCACACAGTATCAGCACACAACATAGCACATTATGCAATAAATAAAATACCATGGGTCCCACAGTGCCTGAAGCAGAAGTCGGTCTGAATCCAAAAAGAATGCCCCCCCCCCCTGCCAATATTCAAGATTACACGCTGCAGTTTCCATCGGCACACAAATGCACGGGTGACTATTGATACACTATCACCATACCACAAATGTGTAATGATATTTCATAATGCAATGTCAGCTTATAATTACGGTATTATGCAAAACTCCAATACACGCATGAGTTAGCCACTTCAAGTTACAAATCACATTTCAGTCAACATCCACATCATCGCATCTTCTTGGCGATGCATCCAGATATATTTTTAGAGCGCGCTCCTTACGAGGCGAGTAAGCAGACAACGTACTACCAAATCTGTTCACACGGGAACCTTCCTTATTAGCGATATCTTTAAGATCTTGGCTTGAAGGTTGTTTCAGTTCTTCTCTTCTGTCCCTGAGAAGAGAAACCAAAACAAATTCGCTGTCATCTCAAACTTAATTATATTGACTACCATAGTATTTCTGTGCTTTCCTGCTATCTGTCCCCAGAGTCATTAATGTTAATCCAGACTCAAGAATAATCTTATGTTATCACTACAACTAGTTAGATACAACAGTTACAGACGCTAATATTACGATTAACCCCTCAAAGCCAGCAGAATGAGCTGCATGAACCTACCCTACAGCAGGAACAACTTTCTACGAAATTGTGAGATGTGGTTATGGATAAAAGTAAAAGTAAAGTTTGTCCCACTATACGCCATGTAGGCGTTTGGGGTGAGAGGAGGTATAGCTCCTCTCTTCCTTGACCTCGGCACTAGATGGGGGTGAGTGGTCAGCATCACGCCCCGGCCGGCTTTACCCCCTAGAGGAAAAATCCTGCCCCCATCGGGGATCGAACCCCGGTCGTCCAGCCCGTAGCTAGTCACTACACTAACTGAGCATGCTCATGCTGCTGGTTGCCCATTCAGTCACTGTGAAAGCTTAAAATATTGTCTAAGTTCAAGTTTTGGTGGGTTATAAGAAGAAATGGTGTAACTTTCAATTTTCAGGCTAACACCAATGCAAGGTCATCATTTTCCCTGAAAAATGTAGCGATCTCCACCATACCTGTAAAAAATAACTTGTCCATCTTCAAGGCTGAGAAGTGGCCAAGTATCAAGTGATGATGACTGAAAACTCCAGTCGAGCTCAGTGTGTAGAATAAGAACTGACACTTCACAGGGGAATGAGCCTTGTCCCTTGGCAAATTCCAAATATTCAATTGGGATGCCACTAAAATCGGACAACTGAAACATAAAGTACTGTCATCGTAAGGCACGCAACTATAAAGTGTGCACTAATTCTGTGAAATTCTGATGACTGAAGGTTACTTTTAAAACACACAGAACCAACTGCAGTGGGCCGCTGGATACAGCAGGTAACACTGATTATCAGAAAATTTTACCGAAATGCCGTAACCAACCTTGGTCTTCAATTCTTCGACTGATGATCCATCAAATACTACCTCCTGGAGGGGCTTTAGTTCAAGTTCTGCAGGGCACCAGTGACGCACAAAGAGCACTAGCTGATCATTAGATGTGACTTTCTCCGGTTCAGGTAGTTCTTGCAGGAACATCTCCCAGTTTGGGAACAGGCCAATATCCTCAAATTGCTGATGATCAAGATAAATTTTTGCTGGATTCTTCCAACTCTTCTTTCGAAGACGACACCTGTGTTAAATGATTTCTCTATACCATGTGACTCACTAAGGTTATGAAACAGCATTCAACAACACTATAAAAGCCTACAGTGTCCTAACATAACAAAAACAATATTTTCTCAACAAAGCCTATCAATTCATGATCTTCAATATCTAGTCAATCTAAGGAGCACTGTCCTTACTCTTCATTCCACAAACCCTTCTTTTGACAGCATACTGCTACATCACAAAGAAACATAACCTGAAATTGTGATAATTTATATTTGTATTTCCTCTTACAGAAAGCCGTCAGTTTAGGTCGCCATACTGACCTGTCATATGGAATATCTATCGAATACTTTCTTTTAATTTCTTGGAGGATTTCCTTTTTCATTTCACCAACCTTCATCCCTTTGCCAAGAATCCAGTCACACAAGAATTTACTAGGCTAAAACAAAAGAACAATAAATATTAATAATATATTATTTTAACATTTATTACTTAAAATCTGACTTTTACACTTTTGTCACCAAAATACTGAACGATGTGCCAACTGCGATAAATAGATAATGTCAGAGATCACTGCCACTCACTGTCTCTTCTTTATTAAGGAAGTTAACGAGTTTTTGTGTCTTGAAATTATCTACCTCAAGTGACAAAATCATGAATGACGTGACGAGAAACAACTAATTTTAATCCACGTGATGGCGTAACTACAAAATCTGCTGATAAATATTTTAAGAGACAAATATTAGCAATTAAGTATAACAAGTGATTCTCACACTTAACATTTAAATAATGAATACAATAACTATTAATTTTAATACAATGGATTTGCAATGCCACATTACCTCTGATGCATTAGGCAAGAGTTGGTACACTTTCCCTCGATGTTCACCTTTCTTTAAAGCTCTGCCGAGCCTGATTATAAGTTTGTCATCATCGTGATATGAGCCCAAACTCTCTTTGAAACGGGCACACTCAAATTCTTGTTGGCCAGAATAAAGACGGTATATCTTGAAGTATTCAACCGGAACCCCAACATACGGTTCCAGATCCTTCTTCAAGGTCCCTAGGAACATTCTCTTGTCTACTAGCACCTTTAGCACTGAAAGGATTAGAATATACGTAAAGAGTCTGAAATAAATCTGAAAGTACACACACATACATATGCATCACAATAAATAATAATGAACAGTCAAACATAAGAACTAATGTCCTTGTATGAGTACAAACATTAATAGTATATGATTTAAAAATACAAATAACGACCATGTTAACAAAAGCTAATAAATATTCAAACGGAGAAAAGTTAAGAGGATTCTTAAGATGTGAGAATGAACTCAATACTGTTTACACCACAGAGAATGAAAATATCTGGAGACAAACGTGTTCCATATTCCACCTTAATGACATAAGGTAGTACTATCACATAAAAATGCACTGGAAATTAGGAAAGCTGTTTTAAGACCTTGGATTAATCTTAGAAGCTTTTTCAATTTTCTGGTATCATTTTACCGTCAAACCTTCTGTTACCTTTACAAGAATTTAAGTGCGCAAATATAGCGTCAATAGAGACCAGACAATATCGCAAACTGTATATATTATATTACACTAAATATCTAATTACATGGAACAAAGGCTTATTAATGCATTCACAAGAATCCAAAAGTATAATTGCTAGGTTCCACTGCATGTACTGCCACAAAGAAATGTGCAAAATTCAGTTATCAACCTTTTCAAACAAACAAATTTAGAAATGTTGAAAATCATGTCTATATTCAACATTACAGTCCCAGGAGTGTGAACGTATACCAAAATAATCATTAATGAACCGGCTTAAGTCTACAACGAAGCTGAAAAAAAAGTACTTCTCTGATTGTCGTCATCAATATACGGAACTGCTCGGAAGTAGTAAGCAGTAGACTTAGTTGTGGCCCCAGCAGTCTCCTTTTCATCATCATCCCACATCGCTGTCGGCTCCTAAAATGAAGATCGTATTGACATGCAAGTGGCCTCGAGTGCATGAATTACAATGTGCACTGCAACACAAAGCCCAAGTATCGAAGTACAAACTTACTCTGGTGAATGAGTGATATGTATTCGTATTGCCTTCTTCAGGTGATGATACATTATGCTGATCTGAACCTGCAGGAGAATTGCTGGGACTGGATAGCTGAGCCAGACATTCATCTGGGACATCACCTACTAGCGTCCTGTCACTGTCAGTAAGGCTGCTGTCCTCACTGGCACTTTGATCACTGTGTCCAGTAGCACCAATCCCCTCATCTTCTGCATCGCCAGGAGGCTGTGGGGAACTGTCACGCAAAGTGCTGCCAGTATTGGCAGGAGAAGATACACCGAGCGCCGAAGCACCATCGGCGCCGGTTGCTTCTTCATTTGTACTACTGTCCTCTAACAGTTTGCAGTTACCACTACCATTGTGGTTAACATCCAAGTTCAGCACAGGAATTGCTAACTTCTCCAGGGTTTCTACGCACATTTAGGGGGGGGAGAGAGAGAAATATGTGTAAAGTTCTATCAAATCTCAAATTCAAACCTAAATTTATGTTACTTAACACTGCTTCACATTTCCAATCAGTTAAAAAATGCTTCATTATGAACGATTACGCCCTGACAGCGCAGCAGCTTCCATGCATTTAATATTCAGTTCACTGTCCTTTATTTCATGTTCTGGTGAATTTAAGAGTGCCTCACAGACACACACTGAACATGACAGACTTGGTATGTAGCAGATTGTGCCAACAGAATTAATGAACATCCTCCTACATTAGGCCAGAGATCATGACAAAAAGTCAATGTATATGACTTGGTTATTTGTAGGTTATTTAAATTCTGCATTTATAACATTTTGGACAGCGACTAAAGTGTTTACCTTACCTTTGTCCGTATCTGGTAGCACCATACGAAGACATACTATATGTTCAAACCTATCAATAATTTTGCGCAGTTTTGAAATTACAAATGATTTTTCTGGATCATCATCATAACGTGAAGCCACAAAAATCTGCGGACAAAAGAAACAGACACAAATAATTCAGAACTACTTCAGAATAACTTCTCCAAATACAGCACATTCGGTTACAAACATTACCTTATTAGATTTATAGAATCCTTCAAATTTCAGTGTTATTTCATCATTGTCCAACAGTCTTGGCTCATTGCTGTACCTGTACTTCTCGAGAACTATTTTCAAGGTTTTTGCATCCAACTGGAGGGCTTTGGCTAATGTGACTTTAAATTCTGCCACCGTCTGCAAGATATTCCCTCGCACAATGGTAGGGCCATCTACTTCTTCAGCCTCAAGATCCACTACAAACACTTTTGCTGAAATACCTATAAATCAAGAAACATTAATAACGACACGATGTTTGTTTACACATTTTATGCACTGCAGTGTTGCATGAATTAATGAGATAAGAACGTAATAACTACTGCTAGATTTTCACCATTTACTCAGAATATGTGAACACATGCAAGCATGTTTGAAATGTAATCACATTCACTCATCCACATGGTCATAATCAGATTAAAAGATCACAATCTTGTTCTTCTGCATTTTGACAACATGTAGATGGAAAAACATACTGTCTCAATCATCAGGGTTAAAGAAGGAGATGGAGACAGGAAGTATGGATGTATATTTGTGTGACAGTAGATTTTGAACTTTACCCTTATTTGCAAACACTCTTCTTTTAAATGTCACTACTTCTGGGAAATACAGAACATATTATTAGGAATAAACTACATACACAACTTGAAACTCAAATTTACCTCCAAGCTGATAAGTCTCAAACTCAGCACCATCTTTGCGAATCTCCAGAAGAAAGTCGTATTTCGAATTTCCACGAAGACCGTTCAAAATGTCGCCTACAGAATCATCTTCTCGGCCTTCGAAACTGCATTCGATGGTGTCCTGTAGTCTATCATAATTCACTAGACGGCACCGCTCTATGGGAACTACTCCTTCTAAATGGAGTTTCTGTAAATAGAAATGGGATTGTAAAATCAGCCATTCTTACTTCCCCTGTTCATTATAAATCACTTATAACTTGATACGTGATTCTTACAAGTTTGTGCTCAAATTAGATCTGGCTACAGTCAGACCTCACTTTATCAAGATCTAACCAGAGCAACAATACTTATGCCGAACAATAAAAACACATCTGAAAGTGGGACCTTGTGTGCCAGCTCAGCAGCTTCCTGCAGGGTAACGTTACTGAGGCAGCAGAGTTTTGACTCTACCACTTGGTTCTGGGTTGGATGGTGTGCATATAACTTGATTTTACACATGTCCATTTCTTTCTCCCAGAGGATGCGTTCATTTTCTTCACGTTTTTGAATTTTTTGTAATAAATCCTGAAAGCAATCAATATGGTCAGACAAAATCACTGCACTCATAATGAAAAATGTAATAATGAAATTAATCACAAAGTAGCTACCTCGTTTACACTGGAAGTTAATTGACACTTTGAATAAGACACTTCTTTGCCCAAGCTGGCTGATAGATGTAGATGTACAGGATGTATCATTTAAAATGCAACTCAACTGCAATCACACACTACTGTACAAAAATTAAATAAGGACACCCCTCTCAAATTCTGACAAAAAACTTTTCATAAATAATTTAGCAGCAATATCTAGTGCAGACGCCTAGCAGTACAACTCAGAGCCCACAACTGATTTTGTTGTAATGCTTAAAATTTTAATTTATAATTCTTCTCATATGCTCATATTTTATGCAGACATATAACTACAACTAACCTTGATATGAGAAGGAAATTCATCGACGGACATAGCTTCGCAATTTCTTTCTTTGTCGATCTGGCGATACATTAACATGTAAGCATTGGTACTAGAACTATAAGCACCAGAATAATAACCCCTCATTGGTCCTCCACCATAAGTTTTTGTTATGTCATCATATGTAATCTGTAAAAAAGTTACAACTGATTCATTAACACAATTTATTATTAAAGACAGTTATTTGTGCTACATATAAAAAAGCCTACATCCAGGTCCTGCGCAACAAAAGTTCCTGGAAGACACAACATTTTTATATTGGCTTTTCGCGTTACTGTGACAAACATTCTTTAAAAACAAAACGCCAATCTACCGACAAGTCTGTTAGGTCGTGTGTGCAGTCCAGCACTTGGCTGAAGTCCACTTACCCGGTTAACAGACTGGTCATTGAAGCAGAACCAGTCGCCCTTCTTGAATTCCTTGATGTACGCATAATAATGACCACCCGATGCACTTCCCGAGTGAATCATAATAGAGAACAGTTCATACATGTAAGGGCCCTTCTCCATCGTGTGTCTTCGGTTCTTCTCATTTTCATGATGATTTGGCCCATTACTCATGTCTATGCCTTCATCGTCCTCCTATTCAGCAAATTATATAAGCGGATAAAAATGACGAGAACTGAAATTCTTTAACATTTGTAAATAAAAGTTCTTTGCAAACCTATATTAAAAACTCCATATCTAAAGTATAAAATATTTCATAATATACAAACATATCTTAGACAAAATTTAAAGCTGAGAACTTTTAACAGAATCCGCACCTAAAATCACAGTTTTAAAGGAAACTTCAAATTGTTTAAGTTTTCATTCTATTTTCACATGTTAATCTGAATTCTGCATCCAAGCTCGTTTGTCTGTTTGTTGTTGCGAGTGTTTTCAAGAATGTAAATCACTAGTTTACCTGATAATCTGCATCTTGTGTACTGAGGACAGTTTCAGTTCCTTGACAACTTTCATCATCAAGAGCAGAACCACTGTCAGTAGTGCTGCTGTCATCACACTTAACTACAGATTCTTCAGGAACGCCGTCGCTCTCGTCCCTGTTGCCAGCGCACGCGACGACGCTGTTCAAGTTGAGTATTTCTGGGAAAGCGACCCTATAAGAAACAATGCTCATTTCAATAACAACGTGAATGTACCGTAACATAACATTAATTCAAGCACAATTCCCTTAATGTGTACTCACTTGTCATTGAGTTTTATTCGGTGCAGCGTGGTATAGTCAAAGTCAAAACGCTTCAGGTGTAATGTGAGGAGGTAAGGGAACTTGGAAAACTTCAGTCCTTTGTGAGCGTCACATTTCTTGTTGCACTTTTCACAGTGGTACTGGTTGTTACCATCAAGAGTCTCCGGCTGAACAAAAGCTCTTAACGCTTCTTCCTATGATAAAGTAAGACAATCTTATAATAACACAGTCTACAACATAAATGCAAAGCAAATAAGTCTTACGAATTAAAATACTGGGAGTAACAGATGTCTAAGAGCGTTGTTTATCACTGATGAAGACAAGACTTACTTAGCAGTCCCCACAGAGTGGACGCATTCTTGCCTCAAAACAGGGGCAGAACAAACAATAAATTTTATAATTCTAATTTTTGAATACAGACAACAGAAAATGTCCTATGAAAGAACCATAATATTAAAGTCTGATGCCTGAGCTTATAGCATGTACAGTAAACGGTGTTTTTCCTTTTATACCATATTCAATTATACGTTTCCTTTATGGCAAACAATATTTAACAAAATCTTCACTCTATGCAGCTTATTTCTAATAAAATTTGGTTTAAAATTAATGAGGCATTACACCAACAACACCCATACCGAACTGACTCCATGGAGGAGAGTCCTCCTTCAGAAACTAATAACTGCTCGAACATTAAAGAAATTACCCATCTTTTACGAAACCATGAGTTCACTCTTACACTCAAGTATACAATACTTACAACACTTCCATATGCCACTGCACTGCCAAATGGCCGTACTGGAAGGGGGATGTCCAGAAATGTGTCTTCCCTTGACTTTTCAGTGCCACATTCGAGGCATTTAACATAATCAATCATTTTTCCTGCAAGAATTACAAGGAATAAACAAGTTACCAATGAATTTGTTGAAATACACAGTTCAAACACTGTCACTATCTTACCTTCGTAGAGTCTTTGTATGAGATCAGCTTGGTCCGTGTGTTTAAATTTCTGTTCAAGGGCATCAAACATAACCCTACAAAGCTCCTGGATATCATGCTGCTGCCAGGCTTCACTAGAATCCCATCCAAAGCTACGTGTAAGTTCTGTTGTTTCAACAGCAGATTTAGACGATGTCTGGAACATTTCAGCAGTAATTTTAGTGATGTGTACAGCAATCACAAGTGCACTGCAAGAAATGGGGTGGAGCACAAGCAGGCAGCTCCTCCTCCAAAATCTTGTGTTCCATGAGATCAACCCATGAAATTCAGAACACTTCAAACATATCTACAGACTGATATTAACTACCCTGAATATGGAGCTGATACATTTCTCCTATACATTGGTCAACTAACTACCTTTAATATTACAATAAGAAAAACCTAACAAAGGAACTCCAAATTAAAAGTGGAGTTTAGAAAATATTTAGTTATTTATTTTACTTAGGTCTTATCTTTTACCAATGCTCGATTTTATTCAAAATCCACAATTCCAACTGTTGGAATCCCCATAATTCAACAGGACAATATAATATGTTTTACTTTTAAAAGTAATAATTTCATCTTCAATACCTGCAAAAATAATAATATCCTCCTCTTTTAATTTTTATATTCTGAAATAAATTCTGAA